ATATATTTAAAATACAAAATATAAAATACTTTTATATACTTCCATAAAATATAAATTGCAGAATATTTTCATGTATTCCGCTGAAATACAAAATACGTTATACAATTATCTTACACAAATACTGTTTTCAAATAAAAGTATTTTAAATACATGCCAGCCCTGTATACATCTATATTAATTCAAGAAAGTATAATATTATAAATAATACAATTACACCGCGAGTTACATCAGAATGTATTCTATAATATATATGTACTAGCACATGCCTTCCCTGTACTATAGAGAGAAGAAGGCAAACGAGTATCTATCTTTTTAATTCTTTCCTGTTTATGATTATAGGAAAACAACATTAGCCAATCAGCGAATCCGTGACAAAAAAAACCGTACGATCTTTCTGCAATGGAATATCATTACTTACTTATTCTCTAAAATTCGTCTTCTTTGAAATGAAATCTTATTCAAGAGGATTCTGTAGGAATAAAAAACAGATCAACTAAGGCCCGTATTTATAGTCGTGTTTCTGTTAAGAAACCCAACTGAAACTAATTTTGAGTCGTGGAACAGTTCAATAGAGGAATCTTGAGAGTTGATTTACTTTACATTTGTAATATTATGACTTAAATGAGGAACTCACTTACAATTCTTAAGAGTGAAATATTACACTCTTTAAAATGAGATTCACTTTAAAAGTTTATAGAGAGTAGAAATTGAGGGACACTTCCACTCCTCCAGGATTCGCTATATTACATCATATAGAACAGAGCTTACTGAATTTGCTTAAACTGATTTTAGTTGTGACTTGAAATTTAGAGAAAGAGACGGATAAATTTTCAAAACTTTCTTTCTCTTTCTAAAAGGAGGTAACAATGAGAGATAACGTCACGCAACGCGCAGTTTATACTTACCGCGTCTATGGTTGCTACGATACGAGATTTACCCTGCTAGGCAAATCCTTGCAATGTGCCGACTGGTGACACGACGTGACGTTAACCTTTACCTAGTGGCAGCAGGCCATTGTCTTGTGTCGCTGGAACATGCTTGACGAAGAAATGTGAGGTTGTATTGCCACTTGTGTGCGAGAGAATCTCTTTCAGAAAGTACTTCGTTAGAACTCTTCGTTAGAACTCTTCGTTAGGAAGGATCGTTAGGTGAGGCAATTCCTTGACTTCATTTCTTTCAAAGATCTCGCAACACTACAAAACTCGCATACGACACTTTCGAGAGATTACTTTTGTATTACTCGAAGGACGTCGTACATACATCGAGCGTCACGCTGATCAGCTGATGCAACGGCGTGTGACGTGATCGTAGCGTTATTATTAGGCGGGAATTTTTAACGAGTATTCTCCTAACATTTTGTATAATGAGTAAAATAAACAATGTTTTAAATATAATGTACATGAGATGCGTTCGACATTACAAATCGGAGGTGTCCGTTTGCTCTTTCACCTCGGAAATTGTTCGGCCAACTCGTATCTTTCTAGCTGCTACATGTCATCTCATCTACGTTTGGTATTAACATTTCTAGAGCTGATGCAAGATTTCACGCCTAAATTGAATATAATTTTTCAAATCATAACCTTAATGTTAAGAAGACCCTCAAATTTTTTGATAAAGATACACTCAATCCGATGTGTCTTCGCGTAAAAATACTAAAAATAAAGATTTGATAACAAAAAAAAATCGTCGCTTTTTGCTCTGTGAATCGAGATATTAATCGGTAAAGCTTAATAGCTACTTAAGTTAGGAAATCTGTCACAGCAATGGTTCACTGTTTTAAAAATACAAATCTGTATTAAAAACAAATACTTTGCTAAAACAGTGAATTTATGTTTTAAAAACAATGAATCACTGTTGTGACAGATTTCCTAATCTGAATAGTTGCCGAATTTAATGATTAATATTTCAGTTTACAAGGTAGAACGACGCTTTTTTTCTTGTCACACAAATCTTTACTTTTACACGAAAAAGCATCGATTGAGTACATTTTTATCAAAATTTGAGGTGGTCGGGATCTTTTTAACATTTACCATAATTTTAAATGACACTTGCATACACTAAGTACAAAAAGTTCCTGCATAGTACTTTCAAAAAAAGAACATATCTAATGTAAATTATTATTATGTATATTATATATATATGTGTAATATATATATATAATTAACTTTTTTTCAGTACAATGAAGTCCAACAAGAATCTAAGTAATAGTGGACTGTGGGGCGAGTTGCCTGCACGAGAGATGATCAAGCAGGAAGTGATAACTCCAGATCTAATAGAAAATGTGTGGCGACAAGTCATGGACGATTCAAATAGCACCGACTGTGATTACCGTATTGATCGACAACCTGAATACTTGCAGTAAGTATAATATTTACTACATTGATGTATGGAATGATGATCTATTGTCGAAAGACATTCATTAATATTTATTATAGATTGCCAATGGGAAATATACATGTACTAAACACTATAAATCTTCACCAACAATTACGTACAATGGTAAGATCTAAAAAGATCTATTAATATACACTAGTAATATATTGCTAGTAAATATATTGATATATTCATTTTTTATACAGGAAGAAGGAACTATGCTTGGGAAAAAAAATATGACTGTTGTCGAGTCGTCGGATTCAAAAGATACAACGAGTTCTAGAAATCTATTTCATTTTCTGCCTTATCAATCAAAAAGGTATTTCTTACAGTAGCATAAATTTACAATGCAAATTAATGCATTAATTATTGTAATTTCATCGTTTCAGGAATACATTTAAAGATGGTTCTACTATAAATTACTTAACACCAAAAACTTCACGAAATTTATTAAGGCACACTGTAACCACGTTGTTAGCGCACATAGGATTTGAAAACTCGTCAGATGTAGCTATAGAAACGCTCACCGACGTTGCAGATCACTTTCTGAGGCGGATGACTTTTCTGTTGAAAGCAGCGTCTGAACAGAAGGAACATGGATTTCCTGTAAGAAGAGAGAAAGCTGCACGATTATCACTACTATTAGAGATTTTATAACAGAATTTGTCAATGAATAATTTTGTCAAAACAACAGAGAGAGAGAGAGAGAGAGAGAGAGAGAGAGAGAGAGAGAGAGAGAGAGAGAGAGAACCTGCGTGAAGGATGTTATTTTTTTCCTGTAGATATAAACTATTTCAGTTTAACTTTTACCATCTCGTAAAACTTTTATGAGTTCATGACTGAAACATCTAATTAAAATTATTGATGAGATGGTACAAGTAAAATAGTATGTATATAGAGAAAAAATATACTTTTTTATAGGATTTTGACAAAGTTGTTCTTGACTTTGTTATACAATCATTAATTACAATGGCTGTGTTCAGTAGAAAAAATAGCTTTGCCCAACTGTTGTAAAATTCTTTAATATAATTGGCTATACATTTAGATCCAGCAAGGAAATAAAGGTAAGAACCAATCATATTAAAGAACTTTAACTAAATAGCTATTTTCATATAATAAAATTTTTATTTGTTTTGCTCGTTTATTGACCAATATGTTTATACTTAATTACTTTATTTAATTGATTTCATATTGAAGGATCTTACAACAGTTGCAAAGCTACTTTTTCTGATGCTAATTTAAAGTTATCTATATGCCAGGTTTTTGTATTTATCAGGATGCTGTGGAAAGAGTAATGTTGGAGACAGGCGTGGGAGATGTATCAACGTTGCATGACTATTACCAGGAATACGTCTTGAAGTTCGAGGAGAACATAAAGAGAAAAGTCGAGGAAATGATGGAGAGACAGAGGCAACTTGAACTTAATGCTTGTAGTATTAAGTATTTGACTGCATTAAGTTACCGAAATAATTTTCTCAGGATGTATGCTGCATTTTATATAAACAATATTCATCGACTTTTTTCAGACTGGATGAGGCGGCCCACAAGTTGCAATTCGAAGAACTAGACGAGTTCGGCAATGTGTATCGTGAAGTCCCGACGTTGCAGTTGTTGGATCCTGACATGGGATTTCCACCAAGTCTGGACGCTGGCTTTCAAATGCTCTACAGTCTTGAACAGGACGAATAAACTCTCTCCTTTGCAAGTTAAAATGATGATCGTGCTGCTTCGAACTTCCAAATTCAATAGCATAGAAAAGGAAGAAGTGAACGTGAGCAAATCCTTGATCGTGGAGCAAGACGATCAGACAATATTTGAGGATAAAACGAAATGTTAATTTATACAAGATTCATGATTCCCATTTGTCAACTCGCAACGTGCATTTATCGAGACTTAAGGGCTAAATAAAAGAATTTTTTTCGGATCTTGTATTAAATTTTTTTGTGAAATTAGCGAGGACACGAACCAAGCGAGTCCATAAGATAGGTCGCCTATAATACAAGCGCTTGCGGTTGATAAGGTAGAACGTGCATTGTTCGGCACGACGTCACGAATGTGACATACTCGCGCGCCACTTCGCGTCTTTGCGGATGTTGCGGGATCGCGGAACGACCTGGTTCGCGTCTCCGTTATCCATGATATAGTGCATTTCCCTCGTACGCTTCTTGTTGCGCTCGTTACGTCTTCCCGTTCGCGAATGCATTGTCACTGAAGTGAACCCCCCAGCGCCCGCGGCCTGGAGCGTAACGCGTACCAGCTTTCGCCACGCGTCCCAGAATTACGTCGTGACACACTGACGACATGTCAAAAATGGCAGATTCTGCGCCCAGCAAGGCCGACATCGAGGAGATATTCAAGAGGCTGCGGGCTGTCCCGTCCAACAAGGTTTGTTGAACGTAAACGTCGCAATCTGTAGATCGACGGCGAATAAAGTGGGACAGAGTCCAAGTTCATCGGACGACAGAATCGCGGATGTTACGCTGTCAGGCTGTCAGCCTGCAGTTCCCCAGCGAAGTTTAGCTTTCAGCTGTGTTCTTATATACAACTTTTAGGATTTCTCATATTTTTGAAATCTAATATTCAATGGTTCATTTTCCTAATTAACGATGCTGAAATAAAAAAACTTACAACTTTTTATGTATTTATTCATTAATCCCGATGATTCTTTAGCTTACAACATAAAAAATGATGCCTGGACTTTTCTTTGAAATAGTTTCGGCACAACAGATAGATTAACAAAAAAGGATATTTATATCTAAATATTTATTTTATAAATTACACACACACACACACATAAATATAATATAAATTAATTATATAAGCTCTTTGTATTTATCTAAATGTATTTCTCGTATATATTGACCTGTGTCTACTTTATCTAACAATATTCTATATTTCTCTTTCAAAAGAATTATTACTTACCCAGTTAATATTAAGATGCACCATGATATTGCTTATTACTTCAATTTTTATTTGTCACAACAAAGAATGGTTTTTGAGCTCGAATTTTTCAGTTCTTATTTTATTTTTATGTGCATTTAATGCACATAAAATTTTGATTCAATATACCTTTCGTCAAGTATATTATTATCTAAATAGCGCCATTCAATTTTTTTCTATGCTTTAAAATAGTATATCATATTTTATGCAACATATAATTATAAGAAATTACATTCACATCCTTTTTTTCTTTCTCTTTTAGACATGTTTTGATTGCAATGCAAAGAATCCGGCATGGGCTAGCGTAACATATGGTGTGTTCTTATGCATCGACTGCTCTGCGGTGCATCGTAGTCTGGGAGTTCATCTCACCTTTGTCAGATCCACCCAACTTGACACAAACTGGACATGGCTGCAGCTGAGGAATATGCAGCTGGGTGGTAATGCTAATGCTGTTAGTTTTGATGTCTTATAACATTTAATAATTCCACTTTTGTTGAAAATGCTATTGATAAACAAATCAGTGAACAAGTTTACATCTTGTATTATTGTTATCCTAGAGAAAATTTTTTGCGCAACACAACTGTTTCACAAATGATGCCCAGCAAAAGTATAACTCACGTGCGGCTATGCTCTATAGGGAGACATTGAGTCAGGCAGCTGTGCAAGCAATGCGTCGTTATGGCACAAAGGTATTTCTGTAGAATTATTGAATGGATATTTGGTAGGCATTATTAGATCTGTCCTAACTATGAAAATTATATAATAATTATAGGTCTCTCTTCTTACATCACAAAATGAAACAATGGTGAGCTGAGTAAATGTTTTGTAAAATTAGTTCCTTCATCTGTTGTTTTTTGCAATTCTATTAACATCCACTTATGACATCTTGACAAAGCTTTTAACTCCTTAACTTAAATGTGATCCTTATTATTGTGATCGATATCGATGCACAGTTCTCCATGTGTGATAATCTATAATTGTACAAATATCTGTGTTTGTTTACAAAAAATACTATCCATCATTTATAATTACAACATAAAACTCACTATCAAGATTCTGTTTGTTGTACATATATATTTTCAAGGTACATGTTTTTGTACGATGTATTTTAATATTTATATATGATATAATACTTATTTATTTTTTTTTTACTATAATATTTTATTTAATAATCTATACAGAGTATTTGTAAAATATCTGGACAAATTTTACCAGTATATGTTTTATTAATTATCCAAAAAAAATATTAAACATAAGTTCTCAAATGTATTCTTTTCGAAATTATCAACATTGAAAGTCATATATTAACAGAAAGATTTTATCATAAATTATTAAACACATTAATGTTGGATACTGTGGCCAATATAATACAACGATAAGCATGTGATAGTGTTATGGAAATTTGTATTAATAAAAATAAAGTTTGGCCAAACATTTTAAAAACATCCATATTTAAATCTAATCGTTCTTTTTCCAGTTACATTTAGAGGAAGGCACAGAAGTTGTGTCAGAAGAAACAAATGAGCCAGATTTTTTCAAACAACACGAGAATTTAGATTTGCTGCAGAAGGAAATGATAATTCTGACAGAAGAAAAGGCATTCCTCACATCTAATACAGTATCAAGCAATGACAGTACAGAAAAGAGTGCACCGGAGGTCGCTTCTAATTCTCTAGGACCTTCTGTAAAACTTTTTGATTCTACCTCAAACAGTTTGCAGTCTGAAAGGAAACCTACTATAGGCAATAGAATAGTTCAATCCAAACGTCCTGGTGGGGTAAGTTCACGATTAACGTGTAACGTTGCAATATGAAATTATATTACAATTATTGTTTCTTTAATTACAGCTAGGCAAGAAAACTGGAGGTTTAGGTGCTCAGAGAGTCAAAACTAATTTTGATGAACTGGAGAAAAGTGTTGCAGAAGCACATAAACTGGCTCAAGAAAAGAATAAAGAAATAACAAAGGAAGAACAAGAGGAACTCACTCGTCTAGCTCATCGATATGAACACAATTTGAGTCAACAAGCCAAGAAAGTGGAAGAGAGAGTGAAACATCTAGATCCATTAAAAGCTTCACAAGCGGAACGTCTTGGAATGGGATTTAATGCACGAAGGTAATAAATACGCGCTGTATCTCACTCTCACACATTTTAAGATGTTTAAAGAGTTTTTATGTATAAATTATTTTCTTTATTTTCCTTTTTTTTACTTCTTTTTAGTGGTGCGACTCATTCCGCCCTTGGTGACATGAAGACAATAACGCAGGAGTCGAAAGGAGTCGTGACATCAACCGAGGTGATCTCTGGAGAAACAGACTCTTTCTTTACTTTAGATGAATTTTATTCGGTTTACGCTAACAGCAAGCCATCTTCGCGCAGCGACGAAATTGTGGTCGTGGCAGAACCAGAACCGCCTAAACGATTAGGCCCCTCCACTAAAAGCACAATTATCAAGAACGATATGAAAATCTCGTCTGCTATTGAAGGAGAAGCTCAGAAGAAGTTTGGTAGCGCTAAGGCTATCAGTTCGGAGCAATATTTTCAAGACAGTACTTCCGATAATGCGGTAAGCGCAAATTATAAATATAACTTTCTTTAAAAATGTCTGATTAAGATTACGTTTTTTATTAGCATGTAAAAAACTTCTTTTTTATCTTATAATTATTTAATCTTCGATATCTGAATTTTCAGTGGGAACGTAAAAATAATTTACGCCGATTCGAGGGCTCATCCAGCATCTCATCGGCCGATTATTTTGGTATCGAACATTCTCCAACTTCGCCTACATCCTCGTTATCCATGCGTCTGACTGCGGGAAGAGCCGGAGTCGTAGACCTCGATGATGTTCGAGAGAGCGTGCGTCAAGGTGTAAACAAGGTTGCCGGAAGACTCAGTTCACTCGCAAATGCAGCAGTTTCTTCTATACAGGATCGTTATGGACTCTAAATGGAATCTATCGCATTTTACAAGAACTGTTACACTACTTATTCGGACCCAGTTTTGTCCATTGTTCAGAGTTGTAAATAAAAGCTTCTAATTAAGCTTCCGCGTAACTTATTCTTCGGATTTGTTGCGCACGAATATATGTGTGCATGCGTGTGTGCATGTGTAGTATATTCGCACCTTTTATGAACGATAAATTATTGATGGACGAGTGCAATGTAAAAGTAATACAGATTTGAGAATGAAAATATAAATATAATGTATTTTATAAACACGTCTGCTTCATCTTTTTACAACAGAGCTAGTATATTACATAGTATATTGCACAAACAAATATCTCTATATCAAAAGTTGTATCAATACGAGATTGAAAGTAAAATGCCCGTAATAATTTAGATAAAATATGTGATACAATGTCACTATACAATTTAAAACAATTATGGATCTATACTCGGTGGTGGATTTTGGCAATGCAAAATTAATCGCGAACATGGCTTGCCATGGAGAAAGCACACGAGAATCACTGTCATATTGTCACAGCCAGTGCCCATAAGAGCATCTGGCGCCAGGCAACAGTTTAAAAGTTCTTCGCAAATTTCCTCGGGACGTATCGTGCAGTTCGGCGCTTCTCCATCGCAGAGTTTTGGATGCGCTAAACGAGTTCTTATGAATTGAACTACCTCTTCGCTAGTCATCACATCCCAAATACCATCGCACGCCAAAATGACAAATTCCCAGTCCTCGTCAATGGTAAACTGTTGTACCTCTGGAAACGCTGCGGATTTATAATTTTTTTTTTATACAAAATTTAATCAAAAGACATCTCATTTGGTATTTTGTTATTACCGGTCACGATCTGTTCCTGTGGCGGTTTACGGTCGTTCCGTTTAAATATGAAATCCCCGAGGGCACGAGACAATGCCAGATTGCCGTTTACTCTTTTGTACTCGACGAAACCACCCGCTGCTTCAATACGTTTGCGCTCGTCCTTTAATGTAGGCTTATGGTCT